TGCCTTGATGGCCATAGCCAGGATGGCTCTGGAGAGGAAAACCGGAGCTCGTGGGCTCAGGTCCATCATGGTATGTCTCTTTATGACAGGTTTCAAATTTGAATACTCCTTTTGTACTGTTGATGTAACACTCATTGAACACANTTTTTTCAAAATTTCATTTTGACTTTTTTTCCAGAATTTGGCTTTTCTTTTTACATAACTTTGTGACATTCTCACTGAAGAGACTTGCAATTATTTTCCCTAAAGTTCTGCTTTCAGACGTAGTTAATTTTAAGTTATTATCCTATGTGATAATAATCCAATGCAGAGGCAATAATGTAATTATAATGCATTATTTTATATATATATGATATATTTATATAGTCTTATATATAAAACTGGCCCTTTGAGTGCAACCATGATGCTAATGTGGCCCGAGATGAAATTGAGTTTGACACCCCTGCTCTAATGACACAAGAGTAAGGCGGACCAATCACTTACTTGTGAACCTGTACTCATCCTCTCGTCTTCTCATCTCTAGTATGTAGACATTTGTTTTGCGGTGTGAAACCTGAACTTGAGTCTCCATTTGAATTTCAGAGCTCCAGCCAAAGAGTCTACAGAGGAGGAATACGACTCGGGCGTCGAGGAGGAGAACTGGCCTCGGCAGGCGGACGCTGCTAACAACTGAACCACATATCTCTCATTTCACCTAAAGACAGTCTCTGAAACCATTAGATCACTATGAACCTTTGGACACCCCCGACAAACAAACTGTGGACACTGTAGTAGAAGTATTGAAGGCTGGTGTTTTCACGACGAGTCCTTTGGTCCCGTGCTTCAGAAACGTTAATTCTCTAGCGGTGCACTCGCAGGGTGGGCCTTTATAAAATATTTCAATCTCTGGGGATTTGTTCAAATTTGTATCTATATAAAGATAATGCAATTTTATTCATGAAAGGATCTGTAGCTAGTTTATTTGTTTTTTCTTTTTGTGGTGACGGACTGTAAAGGCAAGGGAAGCAAATGGAAAGGATGGGCTCATACTGTACACTTGAAAAAAAAAAAGTGGAACTGAAAAAGTGTAGACGTGATGTTACCAAGTCAAGTAATGCCTTAAATCTAAAGGGCAGAATTCCACGAGCACATCAATATGTTGATGTTTTCTTCTTTACCACCATTGTAATAATGGTGTTCACAGTAAAACTGGGCTGTAAGTGCTGCTGACGTAGCATTTGTAAGCAGTTTGTAAGCCTTGAACTTTAAATAGATGAACACATTTTGAAGTGTAACGCACCAGCAAACTAAACAAGTAGGTTAATAATAAAAATTATAATTATGGTGACCTTTTTTAAAGCAGCAAGAATGGTTATTTTTCAGTGTTTTGCTTCCTCTTCTAGCCCAGTCTTTAGAGAATTTATCGATTTGCTCACACACCTCCTCCCCACAGGACTCTGCAGGATCAGCAGGTAGATGAACAGATAGCCTCCACTACCTGACAAAATCACATTTGAAAATGGTCTACCCAAGCATTATAATCAGAAGGATAATCTCTTCCAGTTGGCTCTGAACATGCTGTGCCAGTCCCCCCTCAGAACAGCACAAGTATTTTTATTTCTTTGTGCGTACCCCAGTGTTGGAAACTCACCTCTCCGTTAGTGATGTAATATCCTGTTACTAAAGTATCTCGGTGCACCCGTCTGTAATCAAGCCTCGTTGCTCTGTGACAGATCTGAACCACGCTGCTGTACTCTTTAAAACGCTGTCTGTGCTATAACATGAGATTAAACTAGACCTGTTCTCCCTTTGCTTTTAAGTTTCCTTTTTCTTTTAAGTTCAGTTTAAAACTGCCTTTCCTGTTTTCAGAGGTCTGTTACACAACCCCGACCCAAGTTTGTTAATCCAACATTTATTGTGATTGTTTAAAATATATAAATAAAATGTAAATCTCTGTACAATACTTTTCAATTGTGCTTCCCATTTTTACTTCTGCAGACCACATCATGCTCTACAATGATTTAATTATCAAAGTCAGTGCAACATTCTTCCACACACGAAACAGGAAATTATTTTGATAAATGTATTTTTTCTTATATTTGATTTTCAACATATATATAATGTAGCTTTGGCACATTTATAAAAAGTGTCCATGAAAACAAGAACATCTCATCACTGCTATTTTTCACGGTTTTACTGCAAACCATATGATTACATTTTCCATGAAATATGAATTGTTACATCACTTGTTGTTCCACCCTGCCACGCTGTCAGCTTTATGTAATCGGCTAATCTCTGGATATTATCGTCAGCACTCTCTAATCCCCTTCGAGGGGAAATTGAGATTCAAATTAAAAAGTCATACGAAAATGTGTCTTCATATAAACATGAAAATTGTGATTAATCATAATAGGCTACTGTATAATATTATGAATATATTACTAGTAAAAATAATATTTTAATTTGTACTATTGTTTAATCATTTTTATGTTAGTCTTGCATATCATTATTTGTATACATGGTTAAATTCTCCATAATCTGTACTTGTACCTGTGCATTTGTAAACAACTCCTCACATGATGTCAGAGGCTTAGTGATGAGGAGGCTTATCACGTACGATAATGTCTTTGTGTTTCCTCACCATCAACTCTTCAGATGGCTGAGTGCGGACCTCACAGAGAAGAGCTGACAAAGGTAAGAATGAAAACAAGTTCACAGAAGCTCTGGTTTGAAAACTTAAAACTCAGCTCTTTCTGTTTCTCTGGTGAAGGTTGTTTGTTGGGACAATGAGCACTCTGGAGGACGTCCCGTTTCAGACTCTGCTGAGCCCGCTGCTGCAGGAGGAGGTGACGGCTCCAGACATCGCTCTGCCAGACTGCGCTCGGATACTGCGAGACACTGAGGTCTCATCTGATGAAACATCAACATATTTAAGATTTCAAGTTTTACCTTGGTCAATTCAATGCCGAGGCTGAGCTTGATGGCAGAGGCATACAACCACAATATGACTTTCTAATTCACGCATTTTCTCTTGCATTTATAATTGATGTTGTATAAGTGTTTTTGAAGTAAGACACAATGCTGGTAAAAAAGGAAAAAGCTTGGAAGTAAATAAATAATAGATGAATTCCATTACCTGTGTCATTTTCAGGGTCCGGGTTTTAATTACTGAGACAATGTGAATGTTATCAGTAACACCTGTTACTAAGACTGCTGCGTGTACATCTTGTTGCTGAAGATCTTCTTTTTATTTATTTACCTCCAGTATAAATTCAACCTGGAGAAATGGATCTTAAGCGGGCAGCAGCCAGTCTCTGAGACCCCCTCCTGCCCCCCCTACCGGCTGATGTTCAGCGGCC